TCTTTTTCCTCCACCAGCGCCGCCGCTGCCGCCGCCGCTGCGGACGCCCAGCCGCGTGGCCCCGACCTGGGCGGCCCTGGCGCCGGCCCGCAGGCCTCCGCCGTGGCAGCCGGCGAGGCAGGCGCCTCGTGCCGGCGGGAGCCCAGCGTGGAGATCCACCGCACAAAGCTGCGGGTGCTGCCAGAAGTGCCCCTGGCTCAAGTTGGCGGCGCGCACAGGGGTGTGTGGGGAGGGGGGAAGGCTTCTTAGAAGCACCCCTGCTTCTCAGAAGGCGCAGGCCTTGTCTACAAATGTAAGGCCGGCGCCTTCTAAGAAGCAGCCTCCTTCTAAGAAGCCTTCCCCCTTCCCCCTACCCCCCTCTGCGCGCCGCCAATCAAGGCGCCCGCAGCGTTTCGCTCCAGTTTGGTGCCCCCGAGGCAATCGGGGCTTCGTGAGGGGGTGCTCTGGAGGCCGCCTGGGCCCCCCCGAGAGTCCTGGGGGCACCCGTGGCCGGGGGCACTTCCAGCAACGCCCGAAAGATGCACAAGGCTTCCCCCATCGAGGAACAGCAACACTGCATCAACATACACCTTCGGAGGTCGCGGATCTCTCGGATCGGCGCTGTGCCCGCTTCGGCGGCGCCTCCGGCGCCGCCCCTGGCGCGCTCCGCGCGCCAGGCAGGGGGGGTCAGCGCCGATCGGAGAAGTCCGCGCAGAGCTCTGGAAGTTCATGCGCTTCTGCCGTCCGTGGTGTCCCCGCCCCAGGGGATGGTTCCTGGGCCTCGGGGGAGGGTGGCGGTGCGCACACACCGAGAGCCGGTGAGATTGCACAACGCCGTCCGCCCCGCAGGCACGGGGGAATTATCCGGCGGCGCGACCCCCGCGCGGGCGTTCCAGGTGGAACGCCGCCGGTGGCCCAGAATCCGGCAGCGTGGAAGGATCGGCGCTACCGGAAAGCGCCGATCGTTCCAGGTTGAACGATCCACGCGGTGTCAGAAACCCACGCCGGGGTCGTCACGACACGATTTTGCCGTGCGAGGCGGGGATCTAGCCACGTCCGCCCGTGGACCCCGCGTCCCGGGAGCCCAGCGGGCGGTGCGTGTTGATCTGTTTGGGCCCCACGGGGACCGTCCATACATCCACATACACCGCCCGTTGAGGCCTCCAAAAACTCGGTCCTCCCATCGGTGGTTATTAGGGAAACGAAAAATGACATACAGATAAAAAGTCGGAGGTCCGCGCGGATTTCTCGGATCGTCGCTGGGCCCCCCCGGCGGCGCTTCCGGCGCCGCCCCTGGCGCGCCCCGCGCGCCAGGGAGGGGGGGGCCCAGCGCGGATCCGAGAAATCTGCGTGGACCTCCGAGTTGTTATGTTTATGCCATTTTTTCGGAGGAAAAGGAGGTCAAGGAGGATCGCTCGCGATCAGGGGGAGCAGAATGGAGAGGGATGGGTGGAGGGAGTGGAAGAGGAGGAAGGGGAGGAAGAGAAGAAGGCGATGAAGGAAGAGGAGGAGAAGTAGCAGGATGAGGACGAAGGAAACGAGGAGGAAAAGCAGACAATGATTCAAGAATTCCTTTTTCGTTTTTTCGAACCGAAGCCGGGGATTCTGCTTGCCGCTCTGGTGTGGGATCCCTTTTCCGGTCCGCGGATCGGAAGCCGGAAACCAGAAAACGGCATTCGGTTTTCCATTATGGGATTTTGTTTCCCGCTTCCGCCTCGCAAGCCAAAAACCGGAAACCAGAAATCGGAATTTCTTTTTCCGTTTTCCGTTTTCCGCTTTCCGTTCCGCAGCCGCAAACCAAAAACCGGAAACCGAAATTCCGCTTTCCGCTCTGGGAAACCAAAAGACCAAACAACGAATTCTTTTTTCCGCTTTCCGTTTTCCGCTTTCCGTCCTGCAACGGGAAACCGGAAACTGGAAACCGGAAAACGGAATTCCGCTTTCCGCTCTGAGATCCTTTTTCCCTTCCGCAGCCGGACACCGGAAACTGGAAAACGGAATTCGGTTTTCCATTCCGGGATTCTATTTTCCGTTTCCGCTTCGCAGGCCAAAAACCAGAAGTCGGAAAACGGAGTTCTGTTTCCCGTTTTTTCCGTTTTCCGTTCAACGGGCCAGAAATTTGAAGACCGGAATCCGGAAACCGGAAAACGGAAGTCTGTTTTCCATTTTCCGTTCAGCGGACCAGAAACCGGAAACAGGAATCCGGAAAACGGAGTTTTGTTTTCCGTTTCCCGTTTTCCGTTCAGCGGACCGGAAACCAGAAACCGGAAATTGGAAAACGGAGTTCTGTTTTCCGCTTTTCGTGCTCCGTTCAGCGAAGTGGAAACCGGAAAACAGAAACCGGAAACCAGAAAACGAAATTCCGTTGTCCGTTCCAGGATTCCGATGGCCAGTCCGCAGCCAGAAAACGGAAACTGAAAACCGGAAATCGGAAAACGAAATTCCGTTTTCGTTTCGCGTCTTTCGTTCCGGAAATTTGGAACCAGAAAACGAAATTCCGTTTTCCGCTCCGGGATTCCGTTTTCCGTTTCCGTTTTGGCGTGGCCCGCTCGCTGACCGGAATCATCGACGGATGCGTTCTGTCCAGAACGCACCGCCAGATGGACGAAAGTCACATACACGCCGGTCGTTGAAAGTAGGTAATTTTGGGTTCCCAGAACCCAATCTACCTCAGGCGCCTTCCTACTTCAAGAATCGATGCGGTTTGGCTGTTGCTTGTGATTCTTTGGGCGGGCCCGGACCCAATCTACTTTTTGCCGCCTTCATATTTCATGTTTCTATACCTGCTTCTTCCGACCGCCGTGTATCTTCGGATCTCCGGCATCCGCGCTTGCGCAGGACACCGCGCCGGGCCGGGAGGACTCCAGCAGCGCGGGGAGCTGCCCCGCGAGCGAGGGCGGAGCGGCCCGCGAGGGGCCCGCGCGGCGCGGGCGGTCCCCGCGCGGGCCGCCGGGCCTGCTGGGGGGCTGCTGGCCGCTGGCGGCCGTGACGTGAGAGAGGGGGCTCTGGGCCCCGTGCGCCCTCGGCACCTCTTAGCGGCGCGCAGGGGGGGGGGGGGGGGGCAGGGGGAGGGAGGAAGGCTTCTCAGAGGCACCCCTGCTTCTTAGAAGGCGCGGGCCTCGTCTGTCCATGCGAGGGCCGCGGCTTCTGAGAGGCAGCCTCCTGCTGAGAGGCCTGCCCCCCCCCCCCCCACCCTCCCTGCGCGCCGCCAAACCTCCTCGCCCTTTCGAAGCCAGACGTGCTCGCGTCCTGAGGCAGTCACTGCGAGACAGATTCTGTTCTGATAAGAAACGACGCCACACATTTTTTTTTGGGCGCTCCGCCCAGGTCTCCTGTATCCTCGGAGGTCGCGGACCTCGCGGATCGGCGCTGGGCCCCCCCCATCGGCGGCGCCTCCGCCGCCGCCCCTGGCGCGCTCGGCGCGCTGGGGAGGGGGGTCTGGCGCGGATCAAGAAATCCGTGAGGAGGGCCAAACGTTCATGTTTATGGCGTTTTTTTTTTTTTTTTTTTTTTTTTCTTCTTTTGTTGATTGTTTTTCTCGGCCTCGGGGGGCTCTTGCCAGGCCGCAGCACCGTCAAACAACGGGCCGCAACGGAAGGCTGGCCCTGGGGAGAGCGTCGGGGCTTCCAGGGGGTCCCGTGTTTGGAACAAGCCGCCAGGACGTCGCACGTCTGGGAAGATCGTGGGTGACAAACATATCCGTATCCACGGCCTCGCTGGCCAGGCCCCTGAGCCGCGGTCCCCGCGGATACGGGGTGTTTTGTCGCGGATGCCCCGCGCGGAAGGTATCCGTGCGATGGGATCGCGCAGCGGAATCCAGACCGCGAGGGCGAGGGTATAGATATGCTCGCCGCTCGTGAGAAGAAGATGCAACCGCATGAACATCAGCTTTGGGAGCTCCTCGCGGCTTTCTTGGATCCACGCTGGAGCCCCCCGCCGGCGGCGCCTCCGGCGCCACCCTGGGGGCGCTCCGCGCTCCAGAGAGGCGGAGTCCGGGGCCGATCGGCAAAATCCGCGCAGACCTCCGAAAGCTTATGTTTGTGCAGTTTCCTTCAGAGCGTGGATTGCCTCCCCCGCCTTCGCCTCCAGACAAGACCAAGGCATACCACGCGCCTCCTTGTCAAGCGGCTCGATCAGTGCGGGCCGCAGCTTGGTATCTTTTGGTATACTCTGGAAGCGAAGGTGGTCCACAGCGAGGCAGGTTCGTTTGCCTCCTATTTTTGAGTCGGGCTTGTCCCTCTACAGGGGGAATATTCAAAAATAGTAAGAAGATGGTCTGGGGACTATTTTTTGAGCATTCTTTGACCACTTTGGAATATTTTTGGGGTATTTTTCTATTTCTCGTCGAAAATCCCCCTGCAGGGGGACACGACCGACTTGATCCTGTCTGTGCTTCCCTGGCCCTGCCTGCCCCTGGAATCGGACAGCCGGCGCCCCCGCTCTGCTCCGGGCGGGGCCCCGCCGGTGCCCCCGAGGCGCTCTCTCGGGGCCCGCGGTCCGGGAGGGCCCCTGGAGCTGCCACCGGGGGCGGCGAAGGGGGGGGTGATGACTAGGGGGGGTGGGTATCGTGGCGTGGTCCTCTTGGTGTAGTCGACCCAAGATTCAGCTTCTCCGCGTGGGATGCGAAATACATTCCTCGTCATTTGTCTAGGGGGGGTGGTGACTAGGGGGTGATGACCAGGGGGTCACCACCCACCAAACCACCCCAACCCAACCCGAAGGCCTCAATTTGCCCTCCACTTCCAGTGGGGGGGGGGTCGGGGAACACTGAAAAAACACACAACCCGAAATTCGGGTCAAATTCGGAATTCGGGTCTTCGGGTTGGGTTGGGGTGGTCTGTTAGGTAGTCAGGGGGGGTGGGTATCGTGGCGTGGGCCATGATATCTCCCCAGGTTTCATGGCGCCTCTTCCTGTCTCATGACGTCCCCGGCCCCCCCGCTGGGCCGCGCACACGCCGCCGGTCATGGTTTGCACCCCCGCCCGCTTGGACACCCCCCTCTTGGCCGCTCCCGATGCCACGACACCCTGCCCGGCCCCCTGGGGCCGAGCGTGGCCCAGTCTGTGCGCGAAAGCGCTCGGAGGAGCAGGCGCTCTGGGCGCGAGAGCGCCGAACACCTAAGGGGCCTGTCTTCCACCACTGCCACCATGAGTTGGAGGGGGGAAGGAGGTGGAGGATAAGGAGGAGGAGGAGGAGGAGGAGGAGGAGGAGGAGGAGGAGGAGGAAGAGGAGGAGGAGGAAGAGGAGGAGGAGGCGGAGGAGGAGGAGGAGGAGGAGGAGGAGGAGGAGGAGGAGGAGGACTCCCTCCTGCTGATGGTGGTCGCGGTGGAAAAGAAGCCCACCAGCACCGAATTCGCGCCAGCATGCTCGGTCGAGCATCCTTCGAAGAACAAAAAGCGGCATAAACATACACTCGTGGCGGTCCGCGCAGACTTCTTGGGTCTGCGGTGTGACCCCCCGATCGGCGCCTTGTGCGCAGCCCCTGGCGCGCTCCGCGCGCCAGGGAGGGGGGGCCCAGCGCAGATCCAAGAAATCCGCGCGGACCATCGAACGTTTGTGTTTATGTGTTTTCTTCTTCTATCGGCGGTGAGCGAGGGGGGGCGGTGAGAAGGAGAAGGCCTTCTCAGAAGGCTCGGAAGTTCCCCGGCCTCCCGAGAAGTTTTCTGAGCCTCCCCGAAAACCGACACAAGCACTTCTCAGAAGGCGCGAGGGGCCTATGGGAAGCCCCACCGCCTTCTGAGAAGGCCTCCTCCTTCTCACCTTCCCCCCCTTTACCAGCCTGGAACACATCCCTATCCCTATGCTGGGCACCTCCTCATCACGATGCCAATCTCAGGGATTCCCTTATTCTTTGAGGGCGAATCCCTAAGATTGTCATCGCCTTCTGGCGTGTCAATCTTAGGAATAGGGATACGTTCGAGGCTGGTAATCTCCTCTCCTCTCCTCCTCTCTCCTCCTCCTCCTCCGCCTCTCTCCTCCTCCTCCTCCTCCTCCTCGCCTCCTCCTCCTCCTCCTCCTCCTCCTCCTCCTCCTCCTCCTCTCTCCTCCTCCTCCTCCTCCTCCTCCTCCTCTCCTCCTCCTCCTCCTCCTCCTCCGCCTCTCTCCTCCTCTCCTCCTCCTCCGCCTCTCTCCTCCTCTTCCCCCTCGCTCGCCGCCGATCCTAATTCTGGGTGCGAGGGCGCGGGCGCCGCGCCCGGCGCCGCGCCCTCCTCTCGCCCCGAGGCAGCACGCCTGGACGCGCCCCCCCGTGCTCCCTACAGCCGCTCGGGGGCCGCGCACCCCTCGGAGCCCGCGCGCCTGGCGGCTGGGCCCCGGCCGTGCGGCGAGGCGCAGACGCAGACGTCGGGCGTCTCGAACACATCGAGACAGAGGCGTTTCAGAGTTTTTGGTCTCTCGGGGCCCTCGCCGAGCCTCGGGACCGTCAAAAAACGACTCGGGGTGAAAAACCGGTCCCAGGGAAGTGGTCTGGAGGTCGGGGGCCCGCGTCCCGAAAAAATCGAGACGTCGGATGTCTGGGGACGCCGATGCCGCCGCCCTCCTCGAAGACCGGTGGCGAGCGAGAAGGCCTTCTCGGAAGGCGGCGGGACCTCTCGGAAGCCCTCGCGCCTTCCGAGAGGCTTCTGCTGTGTCTTCCGGGAAGGCTCCGAAGACTTCTCAGGAGGCCGGGGGGACTTCCGAGCCTTCTGAGAAGGCCCGCCCCTTCTCACCTTCCCGCCCTCCCGGGGCCGCCGCCGGGAAGAACAAGAGACGCCATAAACATAATTTTTTTGCGCTCCACGCCGATTTCTTGGATCTGCGCTGGGCCCCCCCGAGCGGCGCCTCCGGCGCCGCTCCGTGGCGCGCTCCGCGCGCCAGGGAGGGGGGCCCCAGCGCAGATTCAGGAGATCATCGCGCGGAGTGCCGGCAGCTTCTGTGTACGGCCTTTCTCTACTTCCCTTTTGGGGGCCTCGCCGGGGGCCCCCGTCGCCGTCGCGACGTCTGGGCTCGCCTCGAAGTTCTGGTCAGAACTGAGCGCACCCCGGCAGAGGTCCAGGGAGCAGCGGCATCGGTGCCTCGCTGCCCTCCCAGACCAGGCTCCTCTTCGGCCTCGGCGCTCGCGAAGTAGAGCGCGGGGGTGACACCGACCGCATGTATCGCCGCGCCTCTCCCGCCCCCGCTGTTCTTCCAGCCGTCCCGCCTCAGCACGGCGGGGCGCGCGCCGCGCGTCGAGCAAACAACGTGTTTTAGTGTGTGTGTGTGTGTGTATGTTTGCGTGTGTGCGTGCGTGCGTGCGTGCGTGCGTGCGTGCGTGCGTGCGTGCGCGCGCGTGTGTGTGTGTGTGTGTGTGTGTGTGTGTGTGTGTGTGTTTGCGTGCTTGTGTGTGTGTGTGTGTGTGTGTCCGGCAGCATCCCAGGCTTCCGCATTTCCGGCCGCCGCCGCCGCCTCGGCGCCAGTATTTTTTTCCTAGCACGGCGTGGCATTGGCTACGATCAAGGAACCCAGTGCGACCCCGATGAGGGGGCTTCTGCCTCCCAGAGCAGAGCAGTGCAACACAACGCGATTCAACACAAAGCAATGCGTCGCAGCTCCAAGCATAGAGAGGCAAACCTACGCAACCAATGTAATGCAACGTACTGTAGTGTACAGGCGCACGCAATGCAACTCAAATATCCAAAACAATGCATAGCAACGCCATGCACAGCGATGCATATCAATGGCATTTCGCAGTACAACGCACGTGAACGCAATTCAGTTCGTTTCAAATCCAACCAACGTCAAGCAATGCAAAGCAAGGCAAGGTGACGCAATGCAAATTAATACAGAACCAAGCACTTCGACTCACCCGATGCAGGACATAGAGCAAAACTCAGTGTAATCTCAAGCCTGGGAAGCAAATCAGTGCGACAGAGCAGGCATCTTTCAAGTTGAAAGCAATTCAAAGCTTTCCGATACAAGCAGGACAATGCAATGCAAGCCGATGCAAAGCAACGTACGCCAGTGTGCATAAATACAGAGCAACGGACAGCAACGCAATGCGAAGCAATCATCAGGGGGGGAGGAGGAGGAGTAGGAGGAGGAGGATGAGGAGGAGGATGAGGTGGAGGAGGAGGTGGAGGAGGAGGAAGATAAGGATGCGGAGAAGGAGGAGGAGAGGGAACACTTGTGCGGGGGAGGGGAACTACGAGGGTTGAGGCAATAATCTTCACGCTTCACGTATCCCCACCAGCCCATTAGAACTCCCTGCCTACTTGAGTTGACGGGAAAAGGGGCGAAGAAACACATGTAGTGAAACTGAGCGGGCAACCAGGGTGAACAGATAGATCCCTGGGAGCAAGGGGGTGGCTTTGGAGGGCCTCTTCGGGCCATCCTTGGTGCTCGCGTGGGGGCGAGGGAAGGGGGAGGAGGAGGAGGAGGGGGAGGAGGAGGAGGAGGAGGAGGAGGAGGAGGAGGAGGACCAGTGGAAACCCAAGAGTCGTCAACGATGTTGGAATGAAACCCTCCCTCCAAGCTCCCTCTTCATAGGCCCCTACAACGGTTCATCTCCACAGAGGGAACTGCCTCGTTGGAAGACAACCGTTTGAAGACCCTGAAGCATGCCAAAACAATGTTCTCTGGTTTCCAATGCCACGGACCAACCTGACTGGTGCGTCTTGACGATCTTGAATCATGCCAGAACACCATTTCTGAGACTTCAACACAGCGAGTCAACATAACTGTTGCGCCCTCATAGTCCTAACATCCTTCCATAACACCATGTCTGGTACGTTGATCATGACATCCCTGAAACTTCTTGTTTTTCAGATGAATGTGCGCGGCGCTAAGACGAGGCCACATTTTGAAAAGGCGCCACCCTCAATTCGTGAATCTCCTGCAAATGTGTAAGACGAATGTGCGCGGCGCTCAGGCTGGAGCCACATGCCGGAAACGGCTCGCCCTCAATCCGTAAGACTCTTGTACATTTCAAAACGAATGTGCGCGGCGTTGCGGCGAGAGCCACATTTTGAAAATGACCCGCCCTCCGTTTGTGAAGCTATTGCCAGTTTTAAAATTTCAGCATCATACTTGGCGAGGAAGTCTCAGGCGAAACGCCCGGCCCGTCCTAATATCTGGCCTCGGGGTGCGACAGGGAGAAGTTATTTCTAAGGAGAAGGAAGGAATGGAGACAGACGACGAGGACGACGACGACGAGGACGACGACGGCGACGGCGACGGCGACGGCGACGGCGACGACGACGACGACGACGACGACGACCACGACCACGACCAAGGTCACGACCACGACCACGACGACGACACAGGAGGATAAGGAGACGGAAGGCGATGAGGGCAAGGACGAGGACGAGGATGAGGACGAGGAGGAGGAGGAGGAGGAGGAGGAGGAGGAGGAGGAGGAGGAGGAGGAGGAAGAGAACAACGAGGACGAGGAGCGAGCCCTTCGAATCGCCTACTGGAGCCCTCTAGGGACTCTTTCGTGGTATCTTGGGGTCCTCTCGGGGCCCTCTTGGGGCTATCTTGGAGGCTATCGCTCAAAAGGGGGGGCCCAAATTTGCCTCCCACCAGCAACATCGCCTCGTGGGGCCCTCTTGTCTGGGGGGCCTCTTGGCCCCTCTTTGGCCTCTCTTGGGCCATCTTGAGGCCATCTTGAGGCCTCAAAGCGCATCGGAAGCAAATTGGCGAGACGTCAGCCATCATTGTGTTCCTTTCGGTTTTGATTGATTTGGGCCTCTTGGGGGGTCCTGAGGGGACTCCGAGAGTACTTGGAACCGTCTTGTGGCCATCGTCGGGCCTCTTGGAGATATGTCCGAAGCTATCTTGAACCATCGTTGGTTATCTTGATCCGTCTTGAAGGCCATCTTGGAGCATTTGACGCCCTCTTGGAGCCATCTTGGGCCATCTTGGGCGCCCTGACCGATCGCGACCCCTCCCAAAAACCTCAGGGAGGGGGAAGGGGCAAACCTCCTGGAGAAAAAAACGAGGTTTTTGGAAGAGGGAATAATGAACTCGACCACTTTAGCCCAAAGGGCTGGTGGGACTATGGGGCAGTGATGCGGAAATTGCCCCCCCCCCCCCCCCCCCCCCTTCCCGCTGGACTCTGAATCCGGGTCTGGCAGTGACGAGGGCTTTGATGACCTCGACGACGACTTCAACGACGACGACTTCGACAACTTCGACGACGACGCTGTCGACGGTGCTGCCTACGTCGACGGCGTACTTTGATAACGACGTCGGGTGCGGCAACGACAACGACTACGACGCCTTCCTGTGCTCTTTCTCCGTCTTCTTCGTCTTCTTCGTCTTCTTCGTCTTCTTCGTCTTCTTCTTTTTCCTCTTCTTCTTCTTCTTCGACAGCGCGGTGGAGGCAACGGCGCGGCGGCGGCGACGACGACGACGTCCTCGACCACGGCGACGGTTGCGGCGGCGACCTGCTCGGCGGCGGCGGCGGCCGGCGCAGAGAGCGCGGCTGGGGCGCGCGCCGAGGTACCGGCCGAGGCCCCTCACCAAGGCGAGCGAGGCCCCCGCGGCGCCCGCGCGGGGCCGGACGGCGGCCGCCGGTGGCCTCCGCCGAGGGCCGCCGCTGGCCCCCGAGGGTGTGCGGCCGCCGAGGCCCGCCACCGAGGCCGCCGCCGGGGGCCGCCGCGGCAGCCGCCGAGGGCCGCCGGAGGCGTCGCCGCCGAAGCAGCCGCCGACGGCCGCCGGAGGACGCCGCCGACGGCCGTCACCGAGGGCCGCCGAGGGCCGCCGCCGAGGGCCGCTGAAAGCTGCCACCGAAGCAGCCGCCGATGGCCGCCGAAGCTCGCCGATGGCCGCCGATGGCCGCCGCCGATTGCTGTCACCGAGGGCCGCAGGAGCGCCCCCTGCCCATTTTGGCACGCAGCCCGCTGCAGCGAAGGTTCCAGCCAGGGCGGCCGCACGCGCAGGCCTCACGCGGATTGCGCCACACAGGGAGCTCCAACGACAGTCCAGCGAGGGCGCACGCATGTGCCCACCCGTCCATGTGGGCACACCCTTCACACAGATCGCGCCCCACAGGGAGCTCCAGCTCCCGAACATGATGCAGCTTCTGCCTCAACTTTTACTTTGCGCTGTTGTTTGCCAGGGATGATTGGGGGTGGCATTGTTCCTGGTCTGTCGCCGGTCGAGTTGGGGAGGGCGGGTCGGGGAATGGCAGAATTTAATGTCTCTAAACCGCCTCCACCCACAGGGCTGGCGGGATTTACATTGGTGAGGTGAGCCTGGGGAGGCAACCTATACGTCGTCTGAGCATGGGACATCTCACGCCGCTAATAACTCTCGCAGGACTGCGGGCGTCCTGGGGTCTCGCCTGCATTCGCGCACGCGGGCCCAAAGAGGGCCAGAAACGCTCGCTCAAGAATTCCAATCAACCGCCTCGAACCCTCGAACCACTGGACCCTCGATCCCCCCCAAACTCTCTCCCCTCGAACCCTCAGCTGCAGAACACTCGATGCCTCGATCCTCGATACCCCGAGCCCTCAAGCCGTCGAGCCCTCGAGCCCCGGGCTCTGGGCGGGCGATCCCAGGCGCAGGGCCAAATGCGGCACAGGCATCTCTGGCGGTGGCCAGATTCGGACGACGACGACGACGCCGACGACGAAGACGACGCCGACGACGACGACGACGCCGACGACGACGACGCCGACGACGCCGGGGACACGAGCGCATAGGGGGCAACGAACGACGAGGCGACGGGGGAGAGGACACCTGGGCCGCCTCGCGTCCGAGGCGGCCTCCGCCTCCCCTTGAGCCTTCGCGCCTCCCTCGCCTCCTGGCGGGGCCGCCCGCCGGGCCGCGCCCGAGGCGGCCTCCTCCCGCCGTTTTTGTTTAGTTTTGTTTTGTTTTGTTTTGTTTTGTTTTGTTTTGTTTTGTTTTGTTTTGTTGTTGTAGTTGTTGTTGTTGTTGTTGTTGAACTCTCATTTCTGAAGAATAATTATTGTTGATCCTCCCTGTCCGGTGCCCATTGTTTTCTTTTCAATTGAAGTGCTTCCTCCGGGACTCGCACCCTGTTTTTTGACAGGGAAAGCCTTGCGGATCAGATTGCGTTGTTGGGCCCCGGACTACAACAACAACAGCTCCCGCCTGAGACTTCCTCACAATTTACTCAGGACCCCCGCTCCCGCCTGAGACTTCCTCAAAATGTACTCCGGAAGGGCGCTCCCGCTTCAGACTTTCTCGCACTTTGCTCAGAAACGGCGCTCCCGCTTGAGACTTCCTCAATCAGGACCCCTGCTCCCGCCCGAGACTTCCTCATAATTTACTCAGGAATGGCGCTCTCGCTTAGGACTTCCTCGCAATTTATTGCAGCATCGCGTTCTCGACGCTCAGGAACCACGCTCGCGCCAAGGACGCCCTCGCAATTTACTTAGGAATCGCGCTCTCGCTTAATACTTCCTCGCAATTTACGCAAAAATCCCGTTTGAATGTCCCGCCCGCCCGACCCGCCCGTCAGGGTCCGCCCGCCCGACCGGCGCTCCCGCCTGAGACGTCCGACAATGTACTCGGGACCCCCGCTCCCGCCCAACTCTTCCTTGAGGAATACGCCCTCGCCTAGGACTTCCTCGAACGTTCACACTCTTACCCTCCTGCCCCTTCCTCCCCATCCAACCTCCCTCCTCCCTCCCCTCTCCCTCATATCCACCCTCCTCCTCCCTCTTCCTCTCTCCCCTCACCCTCCTCCCATAACCCTCCTCCCTCCTCTCTTCGCCCTCCCCTCTCCAGCCTCCTCCTTCCTCCCTCCTCTGTCTCTCTATCTCCAATCGTCCCCCCCCCCTCCTCGCCCCCTCTCTCCTGGCGTGTTCCCCTTTAGCCTCGTCCCTCCCCCTCCCTTCCTCCCACTCTCCCTCGTTCTCCCCCTTCCTCTTCTTGCAGGGCCCGCGCTAATTCCAATGGTGGGCAAAGAGATGCGTGCCCCATCCTCCGAATAATTCCCCGCCCGTTCACGCCCGCTTGTCTAAGCCCGCCCGCCCCCGCAAAAAGAAAGAATCCCCCCAGAAGGGGGTACGCTCGAAGACGAAGGGGGCGGGTATCGAGGGCGTGGGTATACACGTTGCATGGCACGCGGGCAAGTAAGAGCGAACAGTCTTAAAATGATTGTGTGTTGTTGTTGTTGTTGTTGTTGTTGTTGTTGTTGTTGCTGTTGTGTTGCTGTTGTTGTTGTTGTTGTTGTTGTTGTTGTTGTTGTTGAACATTATTTATTCTAAAGAATAATTATTGTTGGGCCCCCTGGTGCGCGCCCCCCCTGCGCCGCCTAGGCCGCAGCTACATTTTCATCATTTTCGTGAGGAAGCCTCAGAAAAGAGGGTGTGTACAGGATCCGGTTGTTTTGTTGTAATCCGCTTTCCCTTGCAAAAAACAATAGAAAATGACATTTCTTGTTCTAATATAATCAAATTTCAAGAATCCCTTGCAAAAAATAAGGTAAAGTGGACATTCGCGCGCGCAAGACGAAATCCTTCCAAAAGCTTAGTGTTCGGAGCGATTTTAACATAAAAACATCAAAAAACCAATGGTTTTTCAACAAAAAAATGTCAAAATCTCATCCCGCGCGCTCTTGCGGATTCGTAGGAAACCCAACACTTTTTAAACATTTCTGTCAAACGGGCTTTTGCGAGCAACTTTTTCGAACTTCTGCGACAACGGTTGCGCACCTGCCAGGGCCATCATCCCTGTCAAATAATACCATGCGGGACACATTCGTTTTTTCTTCGCGCGCGCACGCCGTCGTCGTCGGCCGCGGGGCCCTGAATAGTAGCCACGGTCGTCCGCATGCCACGAAGTGAAGTGTCCGAACGTCATAGGGCGGGAAGCTGGGTGTGGGTGGTGGCGAAGAGTCGTTTGGAAATTTGGTAGAGCTTGAACCGGCCCCCCCACAAAGTGGGGGTATTGCCCGCCTCCTATGAAAACCCTGGCACTGGTGAGAACGGAGTGTCCCCAGTCTTAAATGATTGTTGTTGTTGTTGTTCGCGAGGACACTACTGGAGGCCCGTTGCTCGACCCCCCCCCCCCGAGCAACACCACGGGGCCACGCACGGGCCCTGCAGGGCCCCTGGTCCGAGCAACGCCACGAGGCCTCGCCAGGCCGCTGCGGGGGTCTGCAGGGCCCGGCGGCGTTGCTCGGCAGGTCCTTTCGGGACTGCTGCGGAGCCCCATACAGGCCCCAAAGGGCGCACCCCTCTCACGGATCGTGGCCCTGGCCCCACAGGGAGCTCCACCGAGGTTTGATTTGGGCACACCCCTTTCGAGGATCGTGGCTCAGTGAGCTCCACCGAAGCTTGGTTTCGGCGCACCCCTCTCACGGATCGTGGCCCTGGCCCCACAGGGGGCTCCACCGAGGCTCCATTTCGGCACGCCCCTCTCGAGGATCGTGGCCCTGGCCCCACAGGGAGCTCCACCGAAGTTTGATTTCGGCGCGCCCCTCTCACGGATCGTGGCCCTGGCCCCACAGGGAGCTCCACCGAGGCTTTATTTCGGCACACCCCTCTCGAGGATCGTGGCCCTGGCTCCACAGAGAGCTCCTCAGAGGCTTCATTATGGCACACCCCTCTCGAGGATCCTTTTGGCACACCCCTCTGCAGGGTCCTGCACGATTCCATCGGAACCGTAGAGGGAGCTTATAGGATCCTCACAGGGCCCTGCAGGATTCCATCGGAACCCTATAGGGATCTTATAGGATCCTTACAGGAGCCTGCACGACTCCATCGGAGTCCTATAAGGAGGAACCTATAGGATCCTTACAGGGTCCTGCACGACTCCATCGGAGTCCTATAGGGAGGAACCTATAGGATCCTTACAGGGTCCTGCACGATTCCATAGGAACACCCTATAGGGATCCCATAGGATCCTCACAGGGCCCTGCACGATTCCATCGGAACCCTAGAGGGATCCTATAGGATCCTTACAGGGTCCTGCACGATTCCACAGGAACCCTAGAGGGATCCTATAGGATCCTTACAGGGTCCTGCGCGATTCCACAGGAACCTTAGAGGGATCCGATAGGAACCTTAGAGGGATCCGATAGGATCCTTACAGGGTCCAACAGGTTTCCATAGGAACCCTCTCGGGATCTTATAGGATCCTTACAGGGCCCTGCACGATTCCATAGGAACCCTATAGGGATCCTATAGGATCCTTACAGGGTCCTGCACGATCGCATAGGAACCCTATAGGGATCCCATAGGATCCGTACAGGGTCCTGCACGATTCTATAAGAATCTTATAGGGGTCTTATAGGATCCTTACAGGGTCCTAC